TAATTATTTAAATAACAGGCAACAATGTGTTATTATAGACGGTATCACTAATACGGAGTTATTAAAAATCCAAACAATTAAATTTCTTGGTGTGATTATTGACGAAAATATTTTATGGACAGCTCATATAAATGCCATCAACACTAAAATATCTAAAAGTATTGGTATACTTTTTAAAGCTAGACCATTTTTATCGCAAAAAAACCTAAAACTTCTCTACTTTTCCTTTATACATAGTTATCTCACATATGCCAACATAGCCTGGGGAATCACACACAAGACAAAATTAATATCTCTTTATCGACGACAAAAACATGCTTCTAGAATAATACATCATAAAAACAAACTGACCAACGCTAAACCCCTATTAAAAGAAATGAAAGCACTAAACATTTACCAAATTAATATCTACGCTAACATTTTGTTCATGCTTAAATACAAGCTAGGATTAGTTCCAAACCGATTCACAGGAAACTTCTTTCAATCTAATATCAACAAATTTAACACAAGAGCAACTGGTAACTTTATTGTACCCCTGAAAAAAAAAAGTTCTCAATTTTCTATTTTTTATCGTGGCCCATATTTATTCAACAAATTAATTCCGAATTATTCCTCGAATTCTCTCCCAGACAATATAACTTCTTTAAAGTCGAAACTCAAAAATCATGTTCTTAATATGGATAATTACCTAGAAATGTTTTAGTTCTGATAGTAAATCAAAATTTACGCTCAAATTAAAATAATCAGCAATCAAATACATATGGAAAATGTAAATTTTTGTTTAACAAATAAAGCTCTTATTATTATTATAAACCTCAACACTAACACAATACATAGTTCAATTAAAAAGAAAAGAAAAAAAAGTTTGCAATAATAACATGTAAAACATTTCTTTAATGAGAATCACATTATTTATATGTGTGCTTTACGCAATACCTCAAGGTTCTCGATGACAAGACTAATCTCAGTCTTCTACGAGTTCCCTACAACAACAAAACCCTTCTTATCAAGTAATAGCATACCTAATTATTGCTTCCTATACCTAACGGTATTTTGTAAAATGTATTTTTTTGTTTTTTTGTTTTTTTGTTTAGGAAGTACAGTTTATTTATAATATTGCAGTGAAAAAAGTTTGTAATTAATATGTAGTTGTTAAAATTTAAAGAAAAAAAAAAAAAAAAATTGTTTTAATACGAAGTAATAATTAGTACACAAATAATTCCCATAGGATATTATTATAGATTAGCATCATTCCCTATGAACATTGTAAGCGATTGATATAATTCTTTCTGAAGAATATTATTAGTTGGTATAATTCTCCATGGATTGGTTCACAAACTTTTTTTTTGAAGGAAAAAGTTTCTAAATGCTATTATTTGTGCATAAAGGAATTCTAATTTGTCCACGAAAAAATTCTTGTGTAAACGGTTATAAAAGCCGTAACGGTAAACTTAGATAAAATATGATACGAGAGGGAATAACGACTTCATAGATTTTTGATGCAAGTGTAAAATTTAGTATAAATTTAGTTAAAAAACTGATTATTTTAAAATTCATAAAATAATGGGTAGAACAGCTAAAAAAAAGATGATGGTACAGAATAAGAAAAAACGGAAAAATTCAGAGGGGTTGAGGTATATTTACCTATTGAAGTACCCATGAGGGATTTACCTCAGAGACAGCTTTAATCTAATGGTGACATTCTAAGATACTGTCAATTTACCCTTTGCGAGTCACTGGTTAAATGCAAACCTACTTCTAACTAATGTTGGTTGCAAATTGAAATCGAAATTCAAGGATCTTGTTTGTGAAATGAGGTTTGTACAGATCCTGATAATTCTTGCTTGGTAACTAGAATTAAAAAATATGGGATAATGCTGGGTTTGACAAGAAATTTGTGATTTCTGGGTACAATATAAAGGCCAAAATCATTAAACTTAATTTAAAGAAGATATAAAGTAAGTTCATTAAATAACACTTAACAGTGAGATTTTCTTTCCGATTTAAAGTAACTTAAGTAATAACATATTATTTCCATTAAAATATTTACCTTTAACTCTTTCCATGGTTTGATCATCTTCTAAGAAAAAAGTTCCAATGTATATGTAGAGCTTGAAGGAGACTTGGAGTAGATTTCAATAACTAATCATCTGAAAGGCCGGTAACGGTATATTCTTAATTTTGATACCAAACTGTTGGAACAAATTACTACTGGGCTTAACATTATTCAAAAAATTGAGCAACTTGCAGTTTCAGTGAGTTTCCCGGATGACGATGCCATGGAAAACCATCTTTCGGTGTTGTTCAATGTCCCTCTTCAAAGGGAGTTGACCAAGCAGAACAAGTGCACAATCTTTTAAAATATTATGGATGTAAAAATTAGATCATTGGTATATGCTGTGATACAACAGCAAGCAATACAGGCGGAGTCAAATGAGAAGTCCGAATTCTTAAACATATTTTGAAATTGCCAATGTTGTGAATGATGTGTAGGAAACACATATATGAAGTACATGTATCTCACTAAATGGCTGTTCTTACTGGTGAGAAAACTAAAGGTCCAAGAAGAGCTCTTAATGTCAAGCTAAAAAACAGTGGCCTGAAATCTGTGAGAAAGTTAATTAAGTGAGAAATTTATGTAAATTGGACTAGCAAAAAGATGATCTGAAGATTGGCTCTGTTTTTCGCACTGTTTCAGAGGAAGCTAAGACATTTTTGACTTATGTAACTACTGATATGATGTTTTCAAGGAATGATTATGGTATAGTTTGTAAACCTGGCACCTGCCATGAGGCAAGGTTTTTAGCAGATGCGATCTGCTAAAAATCTTGCCTCATCAGCACATCTTTTTTGTCAAGATATTAGTAATATCTTGACAAAAAAAGATATGCTGCAGTTAGAGGATTCAAGTTTGTTCATTGCAATTTGCTATGTTTCATGGTTTTTAAAAAGTTTTTTAAGATTTCTGTCTCTTTACAATGATTTAAAAGCTATCCCGACAGCCTATACATTGAGAAAAGTCAGTAAAAATAATAGAAATACTTTGCTTCTCAGCATGGGACGCCATACGTGGTACTTAACTCCGCAACTCTGTGTTTTGTTTTTTTAAGATAAAGAAGTTCCTTCTCAAACAAAGCTAAGAATGCTGTTAGCTCTGATTGAATTTGAAGAGCAAAATGAACTTCAGCGTTGTAAACCATCAAATGTACAAATTGGAGAGACTACAGAGCTACCTGAATTGATTTACGAGCAGAGCTTCTCTTCAAATATTTTAAAATATCAAGTATAAAAGAATGATAGTCTTAATACTAAAGATGTTTTTAACTATCCTCAGTTGCTAGATTTTATTGCATTGATCGAAAACATATCTGTTGTAAATGATGGTGCAGCAAGAAACATTAAGCTCATTAAAGATTTTATTTCAGCTACTAGAGATGAAGATCACTTTCATTATTTCAGCTACTAGATATATAGATCACCTTGTATTTTTTTTAGTTAAAAAGTCTAGAAAAAACTTGACTAAGAGTATGATTAAAAAGGAGCTGGGGAAAAAATTTAGAAATAGAAAAAAATTGGAAATGATTTATACACATATAATTGTTTTGTTTTAATTTTCTAAAATGTAAAAAAATTGTGTTTAACATTAAAACAGTAAAACTCAGACTTTACATCTAGCACTTCCTGCCTTAATAAAACCGTTAATTTTTTTTTAGGACAATTTTAGGTCACATAGAAGGGGAACCAGTAGAGAGCTTTTTTTTTTTTTTTGGGGACACTCTACTGCCTATTTATTAAAAAGGATGAGAAACAATTTACAATCTTTACCATTAATGTCAATATTATTTAATAATATTGACAATAATGTTAAAAAAGTTTCTTAGGAACACATCCAATCTCACTACAATTTATACAAATTAAACTCTATTTTTTGAATTAATCTATATTTTTAATAATCGTGTATATGTATTTATGTAATGTATATATACATATATATAAATATATATACATATATATGTATATATACATATATATATATATATATATATATATATATATATATATATATATATATATATATATATATATATATATATATATATATATATATATATATATATATATATATATATATATATATATATATATATATATATATATATATATATATATATATATGTATATGTATACACTGTTAAAAAAATATCGCGTTTTTTACGGAAATTTCCGGCAGCATATTTTCCAGAAAGTTTCCGTTGTTTTACGGAAAAATAAAGTGTTTAAGGAAATTTCCGTATAAATTACGGAAAATATCTATCGTCGTAATAACAGATATTTCCGTATTTAAACGGATATATATATATATATATATATATATATATATATATATATATATATATATATATATATATATATAAATATTATATATATGTTTTAGAACAAACAACTGTTATCTTTCTTTCTTTTTGCGTTTTTTCTCAAACATATCTCTAAACACAAAATAAATTACATAATCATGACATAGATTATAAATTAAAATCTGTGAAATTAAGAAAGATAAGCATATATTGTGAGCCTTCTTTTACTTTTTGCATATGCTTATTCTTTCTTTTTAATTTTTTTTAAGCTTACATATTATTGTATAAGCTTTCGCATAAGCATTTTTCAAACATTTTATATGCTTATAATAAAAACTTTAGCTGCTTTGAAAAATTTGTTTTCACCTTAGAATCAACACCTGTAGTCTTTTAACATTATGATTGTATCTTTTGTTCTTGATATGATGGACCATAAATAAATTCATCAAATGGTAGACCACAAGCAAAATTATCAGTTATAAATAACAATAAAAACATTATTAATATAATATAATAAAAATTAGTTTAAAAAAATTAAACGATTTATTAAAATATAAATATTATTATTACATTTATATATATATATGTATATATATATATATATATATATATATATATATATATATATATATATATATATATATA